CGCGATATAAGGAACACAGAGTCTCTGGGGTTATTTAAACGTAAGATCAATGACATTCTTTAAGTCTAACGCACGGCATTCACGAAAACAGCTTTAGTGTTATAGTATGTAGTTTTAATTTTAAATATCTTAGCGTATGTGATATGTATTTTTATAGGCTGATGAATTGAGCGTGTCTAAATAAAGAATACAATACAATACAGTGAATGCTATATACTTCTCTGTCTTGTGATTGTAGTTTTACTTAAGTCGATAACGCAGTCTTTGCTACTGCAAGGAAATAAACTCGACAACTAACAACTGAAAATTATTTTCTGACGACGAACAAGGTCCACGGGCAAAGCACGAGTTTGACCTGTGTGTTTTTTTCATCAAATAGATATCTCCGAGGGAGAAATCAAGAACATGATTAAATTAAGGTGCAAACCTACATATCATTTGAAAGAAAGACCAGGCTTGGTATCTCAGTATTTTCGTAAGTATGTAAAACTGTTTGTCATTAATATGCATTGTGGTGCTATAAAATTGACAACAACAGAGAACTGGTCACGTTTTTACTGTCACGCAATCATCACGTCCGCGATTTTAATATTTACACGCGAAAACCGATATCGCACGAATTTCAATGCAATATTATGCAGAATTCATGAGTAAGGTAATGGTTTTCCTTGAATCGCATAATTGAATAAAAACGAGAAAAAAAAGAAAACAGTTATAATGTTGTTTATTTTTATCCCAAGCGCGAAACAAGAAATGCGAATCAAATATTACTTAGCCTCCTTTTCAACTCATAATTCTACGCTAAATACGTCACTTCGTTAACCAATCAGAATGCGAAATGGTATTCAATTATGCGGTTCTTAGTTTTATTTGAGTAGTTAGACCGTTCAATACAAGTGAAAACAGGCCGTTGAGACTCAGTTTAGGGTAACCGAGACTGCTTAATAGAGGTGACCGCTCAATAGAGGAGAAAATTAAAGGGATCAAGTGGAAACAAATTCGAAACCCCAACAACCGACCGCTTACTATACTACAGGTGCCATTTGAA